CCTGGCTCTGAACCCCTGGCAAGCTGGACCCCGGTCCCTGTCTGTCCTCGGGTGTCAGACCTCTCCATGCCCAAAGCCATGGCCCTGGGGTAGCCCGCGAGGGAGAAGGCTCCCTCTGTGCTCCAAGAGAGAACGCCTTCTGGAGCCACCTGGGAGCCAGGCTTCTCCTGGTGCTGCTGCCCCAGACTGGGAAGCCAGGAAGCCCGGGTCTGCTCCCCGTGCCTGGCTGGGCAGGGCTGAGGGGAAGGGAGCCTCAGCGGCAGGCCCAGGCTCCAGGCTCTGAGTAACCATACCGCCCGTCACTCCTACCCCTTCTATCTGTCCCTCAGGCTGACCCTGTGCACCTGCCATTATATTGGTTCCTGTTGGGGCCGCAGTACCTCATCACTTACACATGCAGCCTGGAGAAGCCACCAGCTGAGGGAGTCACCCCTCCTGCCCGCCCCGGCCTGGGCCCTTCCCAGCTGCCAGGCTGGAGCTGGGTCCCGGATGGGCAGAGCTGAGGGGCGGACATCCAGTGAGTCACTGGAACCCCAGGCACCAGGCCCAGCGTCCTCCGTGCTGAGAAAGGCCTAAGAAACCTGAGGACTGGGGCCCAGCTCCTGGATCCCTCCCTCCCGAGCTGGGGCGGGGTCAGGGGTCTGGAGGACCCCTCACCGCCCCAGACCTGCCCCTGGACCACTCAGATGGGCCTGCTCCCCCAGCCCCAAGTCACCACTCAGCAACTCCGCTCCCACACTCAGATCAAACGCCCCCTCTCCACCGGGCGGGAAGAACGGAGGGCCTTCCACCAAGGGTCAGGAATTGTCTGCCGGAAATGTCACGGTGGATTCTAACATCTTCAGTGGAGGCCCCTGGGAGACGCCTTTAACGGAAGACTCACAGCCCCTCGGAGCCGGCCCTTACAATGACCAAGCCCTGGAGAAGCGGCGGCCCTCGGAGTGGGGAGACATCCCGAACCCGGGTGGGCTGGTGGCCTAACGGCCTTGACAGCCATCTCTGCCTCCACCCTGGCCAAGCCGGGCCATTGCTCTCCCACTCCTGGGCCTGGCCCACACACGCCTGTCCACGTCCTCGCCTCAGGGGTGCCCCTGCCATCAGTCCCAAGTTCAAGTCCGACTCTTCCTTGAATCAGCAGCAGGATTCGGGCAGGTTAGCAAAAGCGCCCTGGCTTCCTGGGAGGATCCAGCACACAGAGCACAGAGCCTGCAGGTGCCAAGGGAAGGGCAGCAGCACCCACTCATTCTCCATTCTCCCCGTGGGCATTCCCAGACCCTTCAGAAACTGTCTACCCAGCAGGCGGGGCCGCGCCAGACTCCAGACCCACAGCTGCGAGCCCTGGTGGATGCAGCCACTCCTCCTCCGCAGGCTCCTCCCTCCCCCAGGCACCAGGGCAACCATTCCAGCGTGCAGAACCCTTCATGTCACCCCTCAACCTCAGGAGGGGTTTGTTGTTGTTTGTATTGTGGTACTGGGGACTGAACCCAGGGAGTGCTTGGCTACACTCCTAGACCTTTTTATTTTTTAATGCTGAGACAAGGTCTTGAGGCTGGTCTTGCTCTTTGGAACCTCCTGCCCCAGCCTCCCAAGGAGCTGGGATTATAGGTGTGTGCCACCCTGCCTGGCTCCCTTCAGCATCCCCTAATCCTCGGAATAAATTCCAAATCCTAGCCACAGCCCACAAGGGCCCCCGAGCCTGGTCCTTAGCAGCTGCTGCTCTCTCTTCCCATCCTCCCTCCTTCTCTGCCTTCTTCACCTTGCTAAAGCCTTTCGTCAGAACTTCCTGCAACACCACCCCCTCCAGGAGGCTCTGAGGTACTCTAGACTCCACATAAATTCAGGTGACAGCACCATATGTTCCCACAGCCCTCACACGACCACTGTGGCACACTGGCAGGCCAGCTGGCACCTACTCTTTAACAGACCAGCTTCCTGAGACATGCTAAACACGGCATCAGGGCCTTTCTTGCTCTTCATTAGGTCCTGTGACAAGACCTGAAGCAGCAGTCAGTTCAAATGGGTTTACAGCACGGACGGACGGATGGGTGGACGGACGGACGGATGGGTGGACAGACCGGTGGATGGATGAAAGGTAGATGGATGGAAGGGTGGATGGGTGGGTGGCTGGCTGGCTAGATGGATAAATGGAAGGATGTGTAGATGGATGGAAGGGTGGATGGATGGACGGATAGGTGGGTGGACAGATGGGCAGGTGAACAGGTGGAATGATGGGTGGATGGACAGATGAGTGGATGGGTGGGTGGATGTGGGGTGGGTGGGTAAATGAGTGGATAGATGGCTGGATGGACAGCTGGGCGGGTGAATGAGTAGGTGGGTAGATGGAAACACAACACCCCCTCTGTTCGGTCTCCCTGGGCTTCTCTTGGGAAGGCCACTCTGTCTGGGCTTCCTAACACCTAGTACAAATCTCTACCCAAGCCTTAGATTCCTCAGTTGTGAAATGAGGAAGCCTGTCGCACACTTTTTATTATTAAAGAGCATAAGCTCTGTAATAATTTTAAATTCATGATAATAGGTTAAGTTTAAATGAGGTAATCCATGTAAGGTACTTAGAATGGGACATTGCACTTAGTGTTCAATAAATGTTCGCTATAATAGGGCCGGGGATTTAGCTCAGTGGTTTCACCGCCTGCTGTGCAAAGCGCAAGGACCTGAGTTCAATCCCTGGTACCAAAACAAAACAAATCAAAACATTCGCTATAATAATTAGCAGAGGGCTGGGGATTTAGCTTGTTGGTTCTGCCACCTGTCTGGCAAGCACAAGGACCCGAGTTCGACCCCCGGTACAAAAAAAAAAAAAAATTAGCAGAGCCCTTATAATTTCTACCTGTAAGGCCGGGGATTTAGCTCAGTGGTTCCACCACCTGCCTTGAGAGCGCAAGGTACCGAGTTCAATCCCGGGTACCAATAATAATAATAATAATAATAATTTCTACCTGTGTCTCTGACAAACAGTGGCTCCAGGGGACACTGCCAAGGTCCTCCGTTTGGACCCAGCACCCTGACCACCTTGCAGCCCCTGGTAAGGTGTTTTAGTAAACGCAAAAACAAATGAATGCAGTTTTCCAGCTGGTGGGGAGTCAAGCCACAGCCCAGCTCACTACAGTCTGTACACATCCATGCCCAATCAATTCATTCAGAGACCCTCAAAACACCTGCTGGCAGGCGCCCCTTCCTAAGCCCAGGTGTGTGTCAGTGAAGACCCTTAGACCCCTTCCCTGTGTCCTCCCCACACACCCAGCATCCAGCCTCATCGCACTCCTGGAAGGGTGCTGACCACTGTCCCTGAAGGGGCCACCCCTCCCTCCCTGAGTGGACAGCGGGGGAGGGTCCTGGAGGCCACCAGTCTAGGCTGAGCCCAGGGGTGCAGGCCCCTGTCCCCCTCTCCTGGTGCCAACGGCAGCAATCTGCAGGAAACTGCAGGAGGAAGGCGGGCTGGAACGGGGGCTCCTTCGCTGGGGTCGATCATTATATTGGCCAATGCTTGCTGAGTGCATTATAAGGTCAGATCCTGAGCTTTACTCAGGTCGTATCTCCTTCAACCCTCCACCTTCCTTTTTTCAGAGGACCTGGGGGCGCAGGTCAGGTGGGGCTGGGTGCAGCTCTTGGCTTCCAGGGGAGACGTGGGGAATGGGGAGTGTGGGAGTGGACCGGCTGGGCAGCGCTGCCCAGCGTCCACTCCACCGGGTTCTAGGCTCAGCCCCACCATGCAGCCCAGGCCCAGCCTGCCAGGCCCACCCTCGGGAAGGGGCGCAGTGTGCCGGCCAGCGGCCTCTTTGGGGACCTGGGCGGGCCGGGCTGCGGGCCGGGCGAGCTTTTAATTAAAGCGCTGGCTCGGGCTCCTCCACGCAAAGTTTGAAGCCGTTATTTTCCACTCCAGCGAAGCGGGGAGAATCCGGCTGGGCTGACAGAGACGCCGCGCGGCGCCCAAGGAGCGGTGGAGGGAGGGAGTGGGCCCCCGCCTGGGAAATGGAAGACTCGGGGTGCCCGGAATGACCCCGAGGCGGCGGCGGCGGAGCTGAGGAGCCCCCACCCCGTGCACGGCGGGTCTCGCACACCACGGCCCCTCGGCGGGTCTGACCCGGTCCCCAAGTCCTGGCTGCGCTCTCTGGGAGGAGGTGGCAGCGCCCTCATCCCCGTCCGTGGTGCAAAGCCCAACCGCGGCCCCGATCCAACGCCGCCTGCCGCCTCCTCTGCACTTCTGGGGGTGCGGGTGTCCCCTCTCTCCGCGCTGGAGGGCGCCGTCCCTTAGCAGTCGGGCCTGGCCGACCCCTCTCCGGGCGCACCCAGCGCCTCGCGGACTCGAGGACTGAGGGCCCAGGACAGGGGGGTCTGGAGTCCCGAGGGCGGTGGAAAAGGGGCCGCCCGGGCCGGCGCAGGAAGCCACGTGCGCCCACCCAGTCTGGGCGGGGAACCGGGCGGCCTGTGGGAGGAGGGCGAGGAGGGGAGCCGGCCCCAGACTCAGGCAGCTCTCTCCCGCCCTCCCCGGCAGCGCCCGCCGTCCCCGCACCTGGCTGCGCCCCTCACTTCTCCCCTGGGCGGGCTGTAGCGGCCCAGACCCGCCCGCGGTCGGACTCGAAGCCGCTCCCACCTCCCGGCCTTGCCGGCCTCTTCTCGGCCGCCCCTTCCCCCCACGCAGGCCCCGCCCACCGCCCAATCAGACGCCGGCCCCGCCCGCGGCCCCACCTCTCGCGTCCCCGAGCCGCTCGGCTGGGGCGGAGTTGGCCGCGGGGCGGGGCCGGCTCCGGGAGGTGCGAGCGGCGGGCGCGGGGCTCAGTCCGGCGGCGCAGCGGGAGGGAGGCGCGAGGCCGTAGCGGCGCC